ACGCACCGGGGCAACCGGCTCTTAAGGGCTCCAGCTATTCACACGCAGAAAGAAAGGTGCCTGCCATGCAAAGTGGGGCGACATGCGTGTTCTTTGGACATCTCACACTGATTGCACAGAAACTGACACGCTCCGTGGTAAAAAGCCTCCGAGCGAGGTTGTGTAGGGTTTAGTGCCCACGGACAATGAAAACATGTTATTTATAAAAAAAGGTTTTCCACAGTTGTCTTACCTCCTTGTCGTCCTTGTCAGGCAACGAGCAACATCTTCTTCCGGATGGCCAAGGGACTAAAAGAGACATTTCTTGAGAACAGCTGACAAGAGGCAAGAACGACCTGGGCTGGGCAACAGCCTGTCTTCTGGCACTTAAGTCGTGGGTGGTTAGCTCCGTAGCCAAAGTCCTTTGTTGAAATCCTTTATGTAATACTATATATATATAGAACATGTCGTGCGCTGAAAAAGGGTAGATCGTGTGGATCTTTCGGTCAGCCATCAAGATCCATTGAGCACGGAGAGGGCGTCCCTCTCGAACAAGTTCCTGTCAAGCAAATGAGTCCGTGTATTCACAGAATACACTCACCAATTGACTGCTCCCAGAAGCCCCTGGACCCCACTGCTCGCTTGGAAATCCCCTACCCGATCGAGCGTCAGACGTACGCCCATCGATCGTGAGACGTATGCTCAGGGAGAAGGCTTGGAGGGAGCATCCTCTCTTCGCTGACATCAAGGAGGGCAAGCATCCAAGCGGGGCTGAGTTGTTGAAGTGGATATGGCAAGTTTAAAGTGGTTTCAAGTGATGGTTTATTGAAGAACACCAGTGGTTAAACATCATTGAAAAAGAACACCAGTTGATCCTTAGAAGATGAACACAACAAGATGTCCACCTTCTGCTGTCCACCAGCTCCGATCCTTTTCATCCAACAAGGAAGGCGGCCAAATCACCGGAATCATGCAGAAGCGACCGAGTTCGGGTCATGGGGAGAAGAAGTACTGATGACAATCACTCACACCCGTCTTTCAAGTGGAGATGCAGTAGTAATATTACTGACTGAAACACCTATGTCACATATGTTACTATATTATATATTCAACTCAAACATATACATCATACGCTCAACTCATTGATGTTTCCCTCGCCCTCCTCGTCCTCGTCCTCGGGCTCCCGCCGCGGAGCGGAGCGGAGCGTCGCAGCGTCTGGAGGACCCCATGTTCGGCCTGCTGAACCCGGATGACTATGAGAAGGGTCCGGAAAGCGAATGAAAGCCATGAATCACCTGGGACCTGGGAGAGAGGTGGGGTATGCTATCAAGAGGAAAAGCGAGTGAAATCATATGACATATGAGAGTGGTGGTGTTTTTAAGGGATGACCACAACATATTGGAACGCCACACAAATAGACAGACTTACATGTTCTTGATTGGAGTGATGCAAGCACCACATATGCACTCTCTAACCCCAAACCAAGAATCCATCTACCAGCACCTTGTCTGCCTTGTGCTTTGTGAACTCCATGTCTCGCTTTTCGGGTGCCTCGTCCGAGCGTGGAAGGACGGATGGAATTCCGTCGGATGGTCGGGGTGCGTCACGTCAACTCTTTCGGTCACGTCAGGTCTTTCGGTCGAAAGGGCTCCGTCGGACCGTTCTTTTCTTTTAACGGATCCTTTTAGGCTCCCTACCAGGTTGGTGAGCTCTCTCTTTCGGGCTGTTTTTTTTTTGGTGACGGGGCCGAACGATCCTCACTGGTAGTTCGACAGAATGTGACCTGGGCCGCCCAGGCCCTCGAGTTTTGGGGTGTGTGGTCGATAAGAAAAAAAGGGCCGATGGCGTCAGTTGAGACTTAAGCCAAGTCACATTCCCATGTCCATCAAGGCCAAAGACCCGACCTTCCACTCAACGAAACAAGAAGGCCTCGGGTCTCCGTCTCCGACCGAGACACCTCCATACGGTCCAGGACGGATATGGACGGATCCCGATCCCGACGACGACGCTGTGACCACGACCGGGGATCGGAGCAGGGCAGCAGTAGAACGCTCTCTCCGTCCGGTCAAAGAAACAAAAGACATCTGACATCACACCCCCACATCTGTGGATTGGACATGTTAGAAAACATATGCAGATGAGTGAATTAGGCAAAGAAGGCAAGATGCTGACTTGGCTGTGACCTCGACAGTTTCCCCCATGAAACTTGTATGTGGCTTTTTCAACACGTGCCAAGAAAGAACATGTTGATTTGGATGAGGTAGGTGTGGAAAAGGATTGAGACCGAACTCGAATCAAAGAGCTTGGAACCAATCAGATCTTACATCGACCCCAAAAAATCGATCTGAGGCCTGGAGGAGGCCTGGGAGCGTGCCAAGCCTGCGGGCAGTGCGGGGCCCATGTCGGCCGCGTTCGGGGTGGAGTGGGTGGTTCCGAGTTGTTTTTTTTGCCAGTTCCATCCGGTCCGTCCGGGTGAGGCATCAGTTTGCAGCCTGGCTGTGTGATTTACGACCAACAGGGTCACCCATCGCCGTGGTGGACAGGAGACGGAAGACCGTGTACCCGGCAGTGTACCCCAAAAGTAGATAGAGAGGTCAATTCCCTCCAAGGCAGAATGGAAATCGTTCCCATTTGTTTGGAGGCCACTCTTTCATTTGTTCTTTTTCTTTCTTCTCTCTCTCTCTCTCTGAGATAGATACTGATGTACTCATTCTACTCCTCCCACCTCCTTATTGTTTGCGGTTGTTGGGTTGATATATGTTATATGTTGAATGTTGTGCTTGATTTCGGAGATAGATACACCCACCAAGCTGTGCTCTATGCTTAATTAATCAGCCCAGTCTCATGTCGTTTTGCCGAACCTTGTTTTAACAAAAGTCCATTTAAGATGGCCAGGGCTTGGAAGTTTCAATCCCAACTGCCAACATGCCCACTCTTGCGGTAGCACCATGCCCACCATGGTGGGCGTCGTGACGTTCGCATGGATTCTGGCGGAACCTGAGGCACTGTCACAGTGAAGGAGAAGTTGGCGAAGCTCTCGAAGCAGAACGCGCCACACTGGGTCCGGGGCCCCAACGGCGAAAGCGTGGGTGAGTTCGCGTGGTGTTTCAGGCGGCGAGAACACGTCGCCCCCATTCCTCTTTTCCAGCCGAAGGAGCAAAAGGGCCTTCCAGGGCCTTCCATGTTCACCTCGCGTGCAGACGAGTGACCCAAACAGTGACGTCATCGTTGCAGACCCAAACAGCTGTGGCCGAAGCCTTGGCCCAAGACCCCGAACAGACATGTAGCAGCCCCCCGTTGCAGAACCCTGGGTTCTAACAACGGAGGTAGGCTCTGAACATCTTCACTCCAAATTTTCACTGAAGGAGATCAATGCGAGAACCCTGAGAGGGTTGTACTATGCGAAAGCACAGCAAGTTGGACAGATGAACTCCGGAGGGATGAGGAGTTCCTCCGGTGCCCCTGTCACTTTGATTCATCGGATAGGTCCAAACACCGGACCTGGAACACCTTGTACCGAGACGGAACTCCCTGTACCGAGACAAGGGAAAGGGTAGTCCAGCCAGGACACCCAGTGATACCCAGACAGGCCAGACAGGATGGGGCCTGATCTATTTTATATATTCTTTTTCCTTGCCAGTCTTCCTATGTCTTCCTGATTGAGCAGACCCAGGCTCTCTTTCCCAGTGTTTTCTCTCCGCCGTCTTTGTTGGAACGCAGGAGACTTGGAACAAGGTTTCCTCCGCCTAGAGCGAGGCATGCACTTGGCTGGGGGGGAGAACAGAAACACACCAGAGCCAGACCTCAGAACAGGCTTACTTTAAAAGGTTGGGTGCGCCACTTACACAAAGTTGCTGATTGTTGCACGTGGGAAAATAAGGTCATTGCAGATGACCAAAAGTAGGATGAAACTATCCTGTCACAAGACTGGAGACTGCGTGTTGAATAGCATGAGGCTGCCATCCAATCCCTTAGCTACAATGTGTTCGTTGGAAGTCATCAGGAACAATGATGCCTGAAACTCTAGCTCTTGAAATGAACAATGACTGTATGTTTCTTTGTGCGTTCATGGCACAAGTAGATAGTAGATAGATAGGTAGACGTTGTGCTCCACGTCGAACAAACCCGACTTGTCGTAACGTTTGGATTGACTCTTCGACGACTATCAGTCATTCGACTCCACAAAGGTCACAGACTTCACCTCCAACATCAGTGGACATCGATCTGGTCCCCGATGTGGACCGTCGGATCCACCCTTCCCATCTGGACGCGACGAACCTCGGGAGCGCGGACGAACTCGAACGCCCGGGTCGTTGCTTTCCTCCTTCAGATGCCAAAAGGAAGCACTACTACTCAGAAGGAAGACTCTTCTCGAATTCCGGGCAAATCCCGAAGGCATGTGAAGACTAACGGTTCGTTCCCGAGGTCTTTTTGCCTTCCTCTAGAATCATCCAGTCGACTCTCTCTCCCACCCGTCCTGCAGCTGGGCCTTGCGACCCACCAAACGGGACTCCGCTCACTGGACCGTCGGAGGGTTATATATCCCCAGGGGCGAAACACTTGCGCCTGGCCTTGGGTCAATTGAATAAAACTGGATTGGTGAAGCGGGGTGGGTCACTAAGGCAACCCAACTGCAGGTTAACATGGACCCTGGTAACCACCGGGGCAAAAAGGAACATCCTTTTTTCTCTTAGTGTGCGGGCAGGTAATCTCCGCAAAGCCCACAAAGTTTGGGCCGTTGGCTCATCTCAAGTCACTCAATCCCCTTGAACATGTACTCGGGCATGTTGGATTCAATCTCCATCTGTACTTCAACAAGATCGCTATCCCCTCAGTCTGTTTGGCTTGATTTTTATCGAGCTTTGTTTTCACACGAAGTGCAGGTCCTGCGAACCTCTCTGCACTTTCGCTCGCTCGCTCGAACGAGGATCGGTCGAACACCACAGAGCCTGGACCGGGGCCGAACGATCGCAGGCCGTGGCGGGCTGAACGGCGGGCCGTGCCACGGCGCGTGGCCCGGTGAGAATGCGACGATCAGATGAAGAATGTGGTGGTCTTTCTTTGGCCAGCTGAAGCGGCAAGAACATCCACATGCCCTGCGTGAAACGGAACGAACTGGTCAATATGCGAACTGGTAGGGCCGGGCCGTTAGATCCATCGAAAGATGCTCAGCACGCAGCCAAAGATGGACCATGTCAGCTTTCTAAACATTTATTAAAAGGGGTCAACGACTTGCCTGGGCCAAATGTCTGAGAAGGGAGCTGATTCATTCAGAATGATTCGCAAGTCAGAATGATTCCCTACCAGGGAACAATGTTCCTGTTAAAGAACGACAGGATCCCAGGCTTCCCACTGGCAGCACGAATCGGGCCGAGTCGGGATGAATGTCCACGCTGGTTTTTGTGCGACAGAGAAGCTCACTGTCGGAAAAGGTGCGTTTTTTGGAGACGGCAGAGCTCGACGGAGCTCTGTGGGGCCAGAAGCCATTTGCTCAAGACCAGTGGAGAACATCAGAAAAACAACAGTAAAGACGCCTCTGCATTTGGCTCCATGAAAGGCCCATCCCCCAAAAGCACGTGTTCAGCGAGCATGTCCGGCGTTCTTGTCGCTGGTGGATTCACGAACGAACTGTTGCATCCACGAGGGAAGCCGCAGCTCGCTCTGAGGTTGGTACCATGAACGACACTATCTCCCTATTGGGGTGCGAAGACGAAGAGCTTGGTGATTTGTTTGGGACATCTTTCAAATACCCCGTGTCCACGGATGAACGGGGCAAGAGTCACATTTGAGAACTCCTCCATGTTGATGGGTTTCCAACGACTCGACGGCAGTCACCATCGTCCCCCGGTATGGAGGCACGCTCGAGGGACCGGGTGCCGGTCCCGGTCCCGACTCGAAAAAAACAATCTTCGCCCAACTCGAACTGAATATTTAGAAAAGCAATGAAAAGCACGCATATTGGCATTGGAGCCAACCAATGTCCGAAAGAAGATTCTGACCGCTGAAGTGTCCAGATGGACCCGGGTTCACTTCCCAAGAGTCGATCCTGCAGATGGAACATTTCCATCCACGGGTGGTCGTCGTCATTTCATTGGTCGCCGCCTTTCAAAGCCCAGCACAGTGCGAGCGTTCCCACCCACCTCGCTGGCGACTGAGTGGCGCGCGTTTGGCGCGCGTTTGGTCGGGTGATGGTTGTTCCCGAAGAGGCACACTAGGTCGATTCCTTTGATGATTTTCCTTTGGTGACTTCACTTGCGGAGGAACACCAGAACTGAGTCAGGACTCTCTTCTCTCTCTCTCTCCCTCTCTCTCTCCCTCTCTCTCCGTCTCTCCCCGTCTCTCCGTCTCTCCGTCTCTCCCCGTCTCTCCGTCTCTCCGTCCATCAAAGGGCACCTGTTGACTTACTCAGAGTTTGTTGCCCTTGCTGTGGTCAATGATAATTATATATTAGATTAGATTAGATGGGATTGGTAATATGATGTGCTCCTTTTGTTTGTTGGCTTCGAATTCTGTTTGGTGTGCTCATTGTCCATTGAATTTCCCTTGTCGCTTTGCTTGTCGCTCTGGTTTTGCGGATGGATTCTGTGCATACTCGCGCAGGGAATGGATGGTTGTTGCTGACCAGTTGCTGACTCGTCCGCTTGATCGGTGTCACTTGAGATGTCTGAGGACACCATGGCTCGCCAAGGACGAGACATGGAGAAACCGGAGGGCATCGTTATTCTTTTTTTAATGGGTGGTCCTCAGGGAAATAGAGTGAGGCTTTGAAGATGAAACCATTTCTTATACTGTTCGCATATTGTTTCCAAATCAGTCAAACATACATATATATATATATATACATGTACATATATACTGTATATATATTGCATACTATTTGTGTTAGGACATTTCATTTTTTAGAGAGGTTTCTGGGGAAGGAATGATTCACCACATCTTGAAGTCGGGGATCTCTGGCAGGACGCCTCTTTTTGCTGGCTGCCGCAGCTCTCCTAGGCATCCAATTTCGGCTTCTTTCGCATTCGTTGATGCTGCGACTGATCGGCTCATTGGTAGGTACAAAATGGCACAAAGGTTTCTTACTGAAGTTTTCCTGTGTAGTTCCTTTTTTTCTCCATTTTTTCACTCGCAACTACGTAACCCCTTGTATGTTTTTGTAGGTCGATTTGGATCAGCACCGCGTGTTTTTCATCTGGCATATTTTTTGATTGTAGTTCACCCTCTGCTCATGCGGCTCGTATCTATGCAGTTTGGAAAGCATGAGGCTGGAAAAGAGATACGATGCATGAACTGGACTCGACTCGGAAACGGGAAAGATCGAACGCATCCTCAAGATACTCCCGGATACGCAAGCTTTTCTTGAACATAATCACTTATCTTTTTTTGCCCAGTCTGGCGTCATCTCTTTCCAGGCCTGAGATACTGCTTCCTGGGCAGCCCGGAGCAGCTCCCAAAGGCAGTCTACCGACTGAAGGGTAGAATCCACATGTCTCAGTGGTCCTAGAATTCCCAAGCATCAATGGTTTGGCGGAGCCGATTTTGTTGGTGGATTGGATGAACTATATAATTGTTTGGATCATTGATGTGTATCCACTTCCCTCATCAAAAGTCGATAGATCATGGAACCATTCCACAAAACCATGAAAAACCCTACAATTCCAGCCGTTTTCCTGGCCAAAACCGAGGGATACCGAGGGATACCGAGGGTCGGGAGAGATTCACCTGCGCTCAAAAAAGAAACACACACGCACACACACCCAACCACAGCACAGACGCCTATGTTTGGAACATGTTCACACAATTTGATGGTTGTTAGTCATTTTCTGTGAACCCCTAGCATGTAACAGCATTCACCACATGT